AATTACAGTGAACTCCAGCCTGTGGGACAGAGCAAGACCCTGACTCTTTAAAAAAAAAAAAAAAAAAAAAAACTTTTTTAAGATATTGAAATTGTTAACTGTGGGGTTTCCTTTCAGTTGCAATAGGGAAATCTGATTCCAAGTTATAGTGGTATAGGTAGCTACTGTCGTTCCTACATCACTACTGGCATCTCTCAAGAAAAAAAAAGAAAAGAAACTTCATGGCCCCTAATCAAGCCATTCAAATATTAATAAGACAGCTACATGAAATGGCAATATTTACAATACAGCTTTAAAAAAAAAACAGATTCATTATGTCATTTTATCCTGTGAGGCAACCCTGTAAGGCAGGGGTTCATTTAACAGAAGAAAAGTACTAAAGGTCGGAGTTTAGATTATTTTTTCACAGCCATATAGCCAATCATAAATGGCAGAACCTAAAACCAAGGAGACGGTGAAAGAAATGATTTTGTAAATCAGCCCTACCTGATTTTAAATCCTATAATTTACTACTTGTAAGACAGAAATGGAAGCTCCAGGACTTTGTTTTGTTCACTGCTGTATCTCCAGTGTCTAGAATAGTCCAAGTATTTAGCAGGAGATCAAAAAATATTTGTTGAAAATTACCAAAAAAAAATCATTTAACTTCTTTGGATCTCTGTTTCCTCATCTGGTAATGGAGACAGTGAGTTCAAGCCTCCTACCTACTGATATGATGTATACACAAAGCATCTAGTAGGTATTTAAGAATTAATAGACCTAACCTCCAGCTTAGTGTTATTTTCACAAGGCCATCCATCCTCTTACTTCTCCTGTAGCCTCTGAGGAAGTAGCAGAGAACAAATGTCTGAGCATTTGGCAGCCAAGCTGGGTGGTAATCAGGATGGGGAAGGTAAAGGATCAACTGTGTAGGTTTTCTTTCTCCTGCCTCAGCCAAGTAGTCAGCTGTTCTCTTTACCACTTGTTTGTCTCCCTCATCACCATTACCCACTATTCATTCAATAAACAACTACTATGGTCACCTACTATGTGCCCTTTTTTTTGAGACAGAGTCTCACTGTGTTGCCCAGGCTAGAGTGCCGTGGCGTCAGCCTAGCTCACAGCAACCTCAAACTCCTGGGCTCAGGCGATCCTCCTGCCTCAGCCTCCCGAGTAGCTGGGACTACAGGCATGCACCACCATGCCCGGCTAATTTTTTCTATATATTTTTAGTTGTCCAATTAATTTCTTTCTATTTTTAGTAGAGACGGGGTCTCGCTCTTGCTCAGGCTGGTCTCGAACTCCTGAGCTCAAACAATCCGCCCACCTTGGCCTCCCAGAGAGCTAGGATTACAGGCGTGAGCCACCGCGCCCGGCCTACTGTGTGCCATTTTAAGTGCTGGGGATATAGTAATGAACAAAAATTCCTAAGCTCATTGAGCTTACATTACAGTGGAGGAGACCAGCAATAAACAAAATAGGAAGGAAAATACATGTTAGATAGTACTGAGGGGCAAAAAAACTGAACGGGAGATATAAAGTGTTGGGGCTAGAACTGAACTGTATTCTTAAAAATGGTCCAGAAGGCCAATTTTATGTTAGGTGTATTTTGCCACAAGCTAAAAAAAAAACTTTAATAAAATTTTTTAAATAAAATTTTTAAAAATGTTAGGGCAAGGAAATGTTCAATTTTAGATATGATGGACAGAAGGCTTCAATGAGAGAGTTGATACAGAGGGAAGACATGAAGAAGTAAGAGAACTCAGCATGTTGATAGCTGGGGAAAAGAATTCCAGGCAGAAGAGTAAGTGCAAAGGCCCTGAGACAGGAATCATGTCTGGCACATTTGAGAAGCAGCCGGTGTGTTTGGCTTGGTGAGTGGGGGAACTGTTCACCGTTATATGCATAGCGCCTAAATCAGTGTCTGGCAAAAGAACACAAATATATGACTACTATAGAGAAGCAAGACTGGCATATAGAGGTACGTCCCTTTAAAGTAGATCATGTTTGGCTGGTCCGATGGTAGTGGGTTATCAGAACTTATTAACATTAGTGTCACTAAAGTTGGTATTCAACCCCCCACTGCTAAATTTGACTGGTTTGAAAAAATAAATAAATAAAGTAGATCATGTTATTATTTCACACCTCATAGGGGCAGTGTGGTTGATTTATAAGATCCACAGAAAAACAAATAACAGCATTACTTAGTCCTAAAGGAAGGAGATTTTCAATTATTTCTAAATATTTTTCCTGGTGACTTTCTGCTTTGAGTTGAAAAAAGTTTTAATTACTTAGCTTAAAAACTTAATGAATTATCACTGGCCTCGAGTCACCTTTCCTATTTAACTACTATCTGACCCTTTTTAAATCATTACTTTCCTATACTTCATCATCCCAAATTAACCTCCTTTTTCACAGGCTACCTCTTAGTATTTTGTTTTTATTATTTTTACCTTATCTACTACTCCCTTTTCAGTAGTGCTCACAGCAAGTTAGAAAAGACAAAATAACTGTAAAAGATGCCATCCTTAAGGATGGGTTAGTAAAATATATATATAAATCTTAACCCATGCTGTTTTCAGTCTCTAGTCTCAAGCTCCACAACCTGTACCCTCCCAAAACACTCCAACCCTGTGGTACCCTGTAATCTCAGTGATCTTGGGAAAAGAGGATTTAAAAGGGTAGTTCTAGTAACTGGAACCATCCTTAGTTTTTAGATGAAAACTATTAAGGAATTCATCTTATCATGTTCTTACAAGCACTTTTTGGATTAACCCCATTCTATGCTTAACTCTAAGTGTATTAAAATAAAAGTTTCATATATTATTTTAATAGAACACAGCCAGAATGTATTTAAGGGGGGAAAACTTTAGGCATGATCACAGATTAAGAATGGCCAATACATATTAAGAAATTAATATACTCATGAGCCATGTTCTGGGGAAAAAAAAAGAAGAAATTAAGCCTTAAAAGTTCAGAAAAACACCCATTTCTTATATTTCACCATTTAAAGCCTTCTTCAACAGGAAGAGATATGTTTCCTAATTAATTTCGATAAAATTGTTATTTCCAGATTTCCCCTTTCTACAATGTACTCCAGTTTATTCCTGTTACTAACAGCTACAACTGAAGTCCATTTTCAAGGTACAACAAAAAAAGGCTGCACAGAAAACACTGCACCACTACATTTCTAGATTTAAACTATATTCTCGATATTAAAGGTTTACGTTATCTTCTGGGAAGAGGCTTCTTAAAAAAATTTAATTTAATTTAAAAAGGCTTATGTATCACAATGATTTGTAAATTGTAAAACATTTTTGGCACAACCCAAACAAAAACAACGGCTATAAGGAGAAAAAAATTGTCATGATCCCCAACCATGGCCATATTATTCCTTTTGGGGATATAGATGAAAACCTATTTTCTAAGTATACCACCAAAGTACAAACCACTAAACATATTCCAAAACAGTATTTATAACATGATCCTTTTTTAAAAGGTATTTTCTTGGTGGGATTACTGATGGCATATTAATCTCCCCCTTTTTGTTCGTATTTTTAATGTTTCTAAAATAAAGATATAATTTTTTCTAAATGTGATTGGACATACAAAAAAAATCCTTCAATTTTTATCATTTGTTGCTTCCACAATTTTTAAAAGAACTTCAATCACTTGCCAAAATCAAATACTAACAAGTTTAGATCTTATTATAAACACTGCTTGGCTTTTAAGATTTAAGTAGAGTAACAATTAACAACTAAAATGGATTATGTTAATTTATTAAGACATTATTCTAAAGTTACATATAAACTCATAATGATTCTCCCAAATAATAAAGGACATAATTGACTTTTGACTGCTAAAATTTAAAATTCAGAAAAAAATTTGCATTCAGGTCAACAGTGAGGGGGAAGAGCACATCAAAAAAACATAGTCACTAGTCCCAAAAGTCAAGAGGCTATAAAAAGTTTTAACGCAAATAAAGTTTCACTATGATAAATATCAGTGACTAGCCAATCACAAATGCTTAAGACTTCAAGAAAACACTGATAATTTTTAATTTCATGCCATAGATTATGTCATTTTCCATTTTCATGTATGAAAAATCTACTCTATTCCTGAAGACCTAGGTAAAAGGGAAAAGAATTAACACTGGGCCGGAGCGATGCTCACGCCTACAATCCTAACACTATGGGAGGCCCAGGCGGGAGGATTGCTTAAGGATTGTTTGAGACCAGCCTGAGCAGAGTGAGACCCCATGTCTACAAAAAAAAATAAAGAAAGAAAAAGAAAAATTAGCAGGGCGTGGTGGTGAACACCTGTAATCTTGGCTACTAAGGAGGCTGAAGCAGGAGGATCGCTTGAGCCCAGAGTTTGAGGTTGCAGTGAGCTATGATGACACTGCTGTACCAAATGGGAGAATTGTACAATATGTTAATTATATCTCCAAGCAGTGTAAAAAAGTAAAAAAAAAAAAAAAAAAAAAAAGGAGAGAGAAGAGAACTTAGTGGAGTACACAAAACTCAACCTTTGTTTTGTTAAACAAAATACTAAAACCCATGAAGAAATATAGGCATATTTAAACTATTAGGTTAACAGTGAGGACATAGTAGATATTATCATCTCAGGTTTTTTATCTTAAAGATGGAACTTCCATATAATGGGAATTATTATACAGTAAATTAAAGAGAAGGAAGGTGGTTTATACAGAAATGAAGCAATCGCTAGGATATTAGAGTACAATATATTACCTTTTGCATTAAAAGGAGAAGGAATTGTATATGTATGTCTGTGGATATATACACACACACGTACATGTTTTTAGTAGCATATATATAAATTAGCTTTGGAAAGAAATACAAGATATATAAGAAAAAGCTAACATTAGAAGTATCTGTGCATTAACAGGATATCTGGAGCATAGTAAAACGCAAGATTTCCTTAGGTCACCCTTTGTGTGTTTTGAATTTTAAGCAATGTGAATATAAATTTATCAATAGGAAAAATTAAAAGTACTTTACCTTGCACCATTGTTCCTAATGACTTCCACAGTTTCTTCAACGAAATATCGATCCTTGACATATGCAAAGATATCATCACAAATTTCATGTAAGCGTGAACGATGGGTAAGGTTGGTCAAGTATAAAACTGGAATAATTAGTGGTTCTGGAAAACTCTGAAGATTCTGTCTTGCTTTTTTTTCTGACTCAAGTGCTTCCTGATATGTCAGTCCAGGTCTACCCGTCACAGCACAACTCCACACAAGGCTGTTGCACAGAATGGTTCGTTCAAAAAAGTCACTAATTAAAAAACAAAAACAAAAACCCATTACCTATCATTTCACAAATTTTACATTAAAAAGCTGATACTTCAATCAGCTTCTTTTAGTGCCTTTAATGTAAAGTTTTACATAGAATCACAGAACTCAAACAAGGGTTTGGTAACTGGCCAACTTATACGTTAATACACACCTAAGAAAAAGTATATTTAAATTAGACATTTTATATTTTGCAATTTAAAGGAACATCAGCCACTGTACTTTGAGGTCTATCAATTTTGAATATTGGAAGTCAAACTGAAAATAAATTCAATCTTTCTTTCATCCTTTTAATTTTTAACCTTTTCGTTCTGCTTGGAGATATAATTAACATATTGTACATATTGTACAATTAACATATTGTACAATTCTCCCATTTGGTACAGCAGTGTCATCATAGCTCACTGCAACCTCAAACTCCTGGGCTCAAGCGATCCTCCTGCTTCAGCCTCCTTAGTAGCCAAGATTACAGGTGTTCACCACCACGCCCTGCTAATTTTTCTTTTTCTTTCTTTATTTTTTTTTGTAGACATGGGGTCTCACTCTGCTCAGGCTGCTGTCAAACAATCCTTAGGTCAGAATACTACTGTCAATTCAAACACTTAACTATGAATTTTTAGAAAGCTTTAAAATAATAGCGAAAAACTGAGAAATCTAAGCATCTAACAATAAGAGGAAGCTAAGTAAATTATAGTACTTCATATAATGAAAAATCATAATCATTAATAAGTATGTCATGGCCGGGCGCGGTGGCTCACACCTGTAATCCTAGCACTCTGGGAGGCCGAGGCGGGTGGATCGCTCAAGGTCAGGAGTTTAAGACCAGCCTGAGCAAGAGCGAGACCCCGTCTCTACTAAAAA